GGGAAGGGCAAGGGACTAATGGGCATGCTCCTCCAGCTAGTATAAACTGGATAGGTGGTCTTGGGCTCCAGATAACAGGACCTTGCTTACTTTTGAAACAGCACAGGGAGTTTTACAAGTGGTTAATTGTCTCTCCTTAGGCTCTTTCCTGGAGTGTTTAGGTTTTGCTTTCTCTTTGTTACTTTAAAATCTTTAACTACTGAGGTTTTTGCATTTCTTTGTAATTCTGACACCTCCTAGGAAGTTCTGCTAGAAGTGTGCTTGAGCAAGTAAGGCATTGATAACCAAAAATAGCTGGGGTCCCAGAATGACATCTCTGGTGTCTGGAAAGCTGTAGTCTTGTCTTTCTTTTTCTGGGGACCCCTAATTCTTTCTGCTTAAAATTTCTCTTCGGTAAAGGTGGAATTGCTGGGTTGTAAGGTTGGCATGTATTTAACTTTATGGGAAACTTTCAGACCGTTTTCCACAGTGATTGCACTATATTACACTTTAACTGAAGAAGTGTAAGAGTTCTGATTTTTCCGCATCCTTCCAACATTTGATGTTTTCTTTTTCATTTTTCCTAGTCTCTCATTCTAGTGGTGTCTCATTATGCTTTTTAATTTGCATTTTCCTGGTGACTGATAAAGAACTCTTACGTGTTTATTGGCCATTTCCACATCTCCTTTTGTGAAGTCCCTATTCAGTTCTTTTGCCCATTTTAAAAAATGAAATGGTTATTTTTTTCTAGTATCTTATATTACATATTTATCCATCTCTCTATACATCTGTCAATCCATTTTATTTTTAGTGTATTTCAGAGCAAGTTGCAGACATTTTCTCTCTGAACACTTCAGCATGCATATCATTATATAGGGTTTTGCTCTGTTTTGTTTTTTAGATAAAACTTACATACTTCTATATAGCTAGGAGTTCTTTATATTCTAAATATAGATCCTTTAACAGAAATATATATTGTATTTTCTCCCAGTTTGTGTCTTGCCTGTGTAATTTTTTAATGTCTTTTATTTTGTTTCATTCATTTTGTTGCCTTTTATAGTTACTTCTTTCTGGGTCCTGTCTAGTGAATCTTTGCCTGTACCAAGTTTGCAAATATAGTCTGTGTTTGCTTGTAGAATTTTTGTAATTTTAGCTTTTACGTTTTTATCTATGATCTGTCTTTGATTTTTTTGGTGTGTGGTGTGAGGTAGGAATCAAGGTTTGGTTTTGGTTTTGGTTTTTTCTATAGAAAATTAGTGGTCCTAGTACCATTTATTGGAAATATTTTTCTTTACTCATTATTTTGATGCTCTGGTCAAAAATCAGTGTGCTGTGTTAGTATGGGTCTATTTCTGGACTCTGTCTGTTGCACTGATAAGTTTTTCTATCCTATTAGCTTGATTACTAAGGATTGCAATCTTGAATCTTGCTATCTTGAAGTCTTGAAATCAGATAGTGCAAGTTTTCTACTTTTATTATTTTCAAGATTGTTTTGGCTAGCCTACATCCTTTGTATCCTCATATAAATATTAGAATCAGCTTATTAAATTCTTTCTACGATCCCCTTCCTCCTCCAAAAAATAGGATTTTGATTGGCGTTGCATTGATTCTGTAAATCAATTTGAGGAAAATTGGTATTTTAACAAAATTGTGTTCTTTAGTTCATAAACACGATATACCCATTAATTTAGCTATTATTCAATACCCATTAGTAATTGCTAGTACTTTGGAGTGTAGAGGTTTTGTGTATATATCATTAAATATATCCCTATGTATTTCATATTTTTAATTCCTTTATAAATGGCTTTTTCCCCCAAAATCGTTTGGTGTATTTATGCATGTAAAAATGTTGTATATAGACCTTGTATTCTGTATCTGTGCTAAATTGATTAACTCTAGTGGTTTTGTGTAGATTTCTTGAGATCATCTACATACGCAGTTGTCATCTACAGAGAAGAAAAATTATAACATTTTATTTCCTTTTCCTTTGTCATTGGCTAGCATCTCAAGTACAATGATAAGAATGGACATCCTTGCATTGTTTCAGATCTTAGGGAGAAAGTATTAACTGTTTTACTGTTAAGTCTGAAGTGCTGTGTGTTTTCATAAATGTTCTTTATCAGTGTGAGAGATTTTCCTTTCTCTTCCTAGTTTCCTGAAGACTTTTGTAAATGATGTTGAATTTTGTCAAATCATTTTTAATGAGTTGATCATATAGTTTTTCTTCTTTCCTCTATTAATGTGGGAATTATGTTGATTTTTCAATTTCATAACAACCTTACATTACTGAAACAAATCACCCCTTGGTATTCATATGTTTTGTATGTATAGTTGTTTCAATTTGCTAATATTTTAGTAAGGACTTCTGCATTCATATTCATAAAGGATATGCCACTGTAGGTTTCTTATAATGCCTTTAGTTTGGGCGGTAACATGAGCTATGAAGTGTCCCCTCCTTCTCTTCTCATTTCGAGTAAAATTGGTATTGTTTCTTCCTTAAATTTTTGATAAAAATCACCAGTGAAGCCATCTGGATCTGGAGTTTTCTCTCATAATAATGAATTTAGTTTCTTTCATAGATATAGGACAATTCTGATTTTTCACATCAAATACTGTATTTTCTGTTCTAAAATTTCTGTTTGGTGAGTTTTCATAATTTCCATATCTCAGTTCAGGTTCCTTATTTGTGTCTTCATTAGATTTCTGTGTTCCTTTAAATCGTTGAACATACTTATTTGGTTTCTTTTTCTCCTGTTTATGGGTCATACTTTCTTCTTTACATGTTTGGCAGCTTTTTACTGTGGCCTCACGTTATATATTACATTGTTAAGTACCTAGATATTGTTGTCTTCCTTAATAAAGTGTTGAATTTTGTCCCATTAGGCAGTTGATTTATGTTCCAAACAGCTTGGTCCCTGTTTTTGCTAGAGTAGGTCTTATGGCCTGACTCTCTTGCTGGATGAGTCCTACTCCTGAAGTGTGACCTTTCTGTTCAATGTCACAGGATATTCAGCTTGGTCCCCCCACTCTGGATAGACACAACTCAAACATTTCCCTTCTTTGTGCAAGATCTTTTTTTTGTTCAACTACAATAAATTTTCTTTCTCAGGGATGATAGGCTGAAACATGGTCCCCCAAATATAATCCCATTCCTCGTCCCTGGAACCTATGTTAGCTTATTTGGTGAAATGGACTTGGCTGGTGTGATTCAGTTAAAGATCTTTAGATGGGTAGATTAGTCTGGATTGTCGGGGTGGGCCCTAAATGTAGCCACAGGTATCTTTACGAAAGGGAGATCGAAGAGAAGGCAGTGAGACCATGAAGGCAGAGGTTAGAGTAATCCAGTCACAAGCCACAGACTGCTAGTGTCGAAAAAAGCTGGAGAAACAAGGAATGAATTCTCTACAGCCTCTTGGCTCTGCCAACACCTTGATTTTGGTCCAGTGAGGCTGATTGCAGACTTCCAGAATTAAGAGTGTAAATTTCTTGTTGCTTTAACTCATCCATTTTGTGGTAATTTCTTACAGCAGTCCTAGGAAACTAATGCACCTTGTAATTGTTCTGGAAATTGTTTTTTTCCCCTGATACTGTTGGACTTGACCTGCATGCATACAGCCTAGTATTTGGCCAAACATTCAAGGGAACCAAATAATCAGATCCCAGAATTCCTTTCTGTATCTCCCCTTGTCTGGTCTCTTGACCCATATACTTCCTCTACCTCTATACCCCCAAACTTCAGTTTCTCTTTTCCTTTCAGTAAGACTCGGCTTAGTTTGGGCTCCCGCTCCCCCTCCTCAGTATAGGTGTTGCCTTCAGTCAGAAGGTGAGCATTCATTGCCTTTAGTCAGAAAGCTTATTTGGTTTTTTTCTCAAGCCTCACAGTGCTGTACTTTGACTTGTTCACTGTTTCCTACTTAATCCTCTTTGATCATTTGCTAAAGTTGGAGGACTAGTGTGATACCAGCTGCTCCCTTAGGGCCAGGAGTGAAAAAACCTTCATTTTTTTCCACTGTATAATATAAATCTTTATCATCTGGCACCACTCTAGAATATGACCTCTGTGAGAGCAGAGACTTACTCATGGCTGTTACCCCAGCTTCTAGAATACTGCCTGGCACACAGTTTGGTTTAATAGGTATTAGCTAAGTGAGTAAGTAAGTGAATCTTGACAAGAAGGAGGGCCTACTTTCTGCCAAAGAAGCCAAAATGGCCATGTATTTACTTTCCAAATGTTCTTTCTGGTTGATCCCTTTACGGTTTCAGCTGTAGCCAGACATGCTCACCTGGGACCCAGGTAATAAACTGGTGACTCCGAGGAGACTCCCTTTTGGAGTCCGAAACACATCTGCATCCTCCTTCCAGGGCAACACTAGTTACCTCCCAGTGTCCCCTGCTGCCCAGAGGTTAGCCCCCTGAGGTGCAGCAGCATTTTTCCCAGGATAGACTTTACCATGCTTTCAGTTTGGGGTTGATGACCTAGCTAGCCTTCTTTCTGCCTAGTTTGCATTCCTGCTCTTCCAGCTTTCCCAGCGATTCTGTGAGGTATCTGGTATCCTTGCAATAAATTCCTTCTTTGCTCCAGTCAGTCATTGTGGTTTATAGCTAAGAGCTCCAGCTAATGCGCTCTCAAAGCTCCTCGGGACTCCTGGTTTCAGGTATTTAATCAGAACTTAGTAAGAAGTTGGTGGGGTTGGGGATGTAAATGTTGAGGAAACTGCTTCAGATTTGGAAATTTCAGGTTTACCATAAATAGTCTAGGTCTCTGTTGCGTAGGCCTTTATGCAAATTAAATGTGTTTAGAGAAGGCTGTGCCTGCAGCCCCGGCTCTTGTCTTCTATGCCTTTTCTGGCCACTGTCATCAGTTTTTATTTCTACCCCTGCGTTAGAAGTCTTACCTTACTTTCACTTGACTCTCCTAAGAACCGGAAGATGAATTTTTCATTTGAAATCCTGACTTCTTTGTTTGCTGAGCTTTGTTATGAGGAGACATGCCATTAATACAGGCGTATTTTCTTGCTTAGGTGTTTCATAATAGAAGAGCAGAGTTTCTTGTTATGTGAAGACCTTCTCTATGGAAGAATGTCATTCAGAGGATTTAATCCTGAGGTTGAGGTATTAAATATAATTGCTTCAAATTTTAAAAATTTTCCAATTGAATTCTTTCTGCTAATAATTGGGTTTAGGTTTTTTCCCACCAGGTACCATTTCTTCTCATTACATAGAAAATAACAAGTCTTGAAATACCACTGTAGCTATTTAAAGAAATTGCAGCGTTGCAGCCTCACGTTATGGTGAAGTTGAGTAGATAATTTAATACAGCAGCACACACTCCCTGACAGTGCTGCCGTGAGTGTTAGAATCTCAGCTCCCGTCTTTTACAAGAATGTCCGGCTTTTATTCATAGGATGCTATTTGAAAAATTGTTTTCTGGCATCTAGAAATGTATCTTTTCTTATGGAAAAACGTTACTTAAGAATCAAGTAATTTGACTTTTTAGTGAACAGGTTTTAATCCGAGCTTGTAAATAGATTTTTAAATGATTCCTTTAAAAAGTTAAATATTCACCGTATGAGCTGTTGATTTGAATTTTCATGCCTTGGTTTTGTAGAGAAGCACATTCATTTAACAAATATTTATGAGTATTCTGACACGTGTACTAGAAGCCATCCTATCAGGTAATTGGCCAACCAAAGGGAGGCTTATGTTAATCAGACTTTAGTTCGATGACTGTCACATGAAGCCAGGGCTTCTCAGCCCTGCCACCACTGACATCTGGAGCCAGATGATTCTCTGTGGCTATCTGTGTATTTTAAGATGTTTAGCAGCATCTCTGGCCTCTCCCCACTAGATACCACTAGCGTGCACATGCACACACACAGCCCAGCTGTGACAACCAAAAATGTATCTAGGAATAGCCAAAGGTCCCTTGGTGAACAAAACTACCCCTGGTTGAAAACCACTCTCTAAGAGTGCCTGAAGAGAACCAGAGTTAACCAGGCTAATCACCAGCGTTTATGTAAAGATTGTTGGTTTTCTTTCTTTTTTTCCCCCTTTTTGAGGATGTATGATAATTAGAGTGTTATATTTACTTTACACAAAATCAACACTAAAAGTGTTTGTTTTTAATATGTGTTTTCCTTGCCTTGGCCTGCTTAAAGATTTAGATTAGGAAGAGAAAAGAGGGCAGTGGGGTATAGGGGGAAAGCAAAGATTATGAGTGTTCGATGCCCAGGGACTGGGGCTGGGGTAGGCAAGCACTTCAGAGTAGGTCTCGTACAGGGAGAAGAGAAGTTGGCCTGGCCCTTGGGTCCTGATGTGGGAGCCTATTGGCTTTCCAATAGAAATGGCTTTCATGACTGGTACTCAGTAACACTGAATACATTCTCTCTGGGAAAAGGTTTTGAATTTTTGGCTTACAGATCTGAGCTATCATGAAACATGAAAAAATTTAGGTATATACACCTGTTATGAAAAGATACCAACTTGAGAGCACTTACTTCATTGTAAGCTGGATGTACTTAGAACACATTTTTAATGTTGTATGTGTCCTTAGTGACACCTAGCATGGAGTTCATTTATTCAGTAAATATTTATTCTGTACCTGCGGTTCATCACCTCCCTTGAGACACTGGGAATGCAGCAGAGAACCAAAATCTCTGCCCTCACAGAGCTTCTATTCCCAGAATTATTTTTTTTCAGTCCTATAAATGTCAGAAAAGCTACCTGAAACTGGTTTCTCTTCTGCTGTCCCTTCTTTGTCCTGCCTTTGTTATAAAGAAGGTATTGTACGTTAAAAACAAATCTGTCAGCGGGTAACTATCAGGAAAAAGTTAATGTGAGAAAAAAATGGAGGCGAGATCTGTGGCATGTGGACATCATGTAGAATGCATTATCCAACCTCATGTTCCAGAGTGAAGCCAGCCCTCCCTGTGATATCAGAGCCAGCCTCCCAGTTCTTCCATCCAGTAATGTGCTGCACCCCTACCACCACCACCACCACCAAAAACTGCATGTAGGGGCACCTGGGTGGCTCATCTGGTTAAGCGTCTGACTCTCGGTTTCAGCTCAGGTCATGATCTCACAGTTCATAAGTTCGAGCCCCACATCAGGTGCTGTGCTGGCAGCATGGGGCCTGCTTGGGATTCTCTCTCTCCTTCTCTCTCTGGCCCCCCCTGCTTATGCTTTCTCTCTGTCTCTCTCACTCTCACTCTCAAAATAAATAAGCTTAAAAAAAATTTTTTAATTGCATTTAGTATTACTCTTGAGTATAGTATTCTTCCATTTGGCTCAAGATGGGAAGTTTGGAGGAAATCTGAAAGTTTGCTTTTTTCTTTCCCCTACTCACTAGAGATTGTTGGCAATATGCCTGCTTTAGATATAAGTAACTAATAAGATTTACGATCGAGGGACACCTGGGTGGCTCAGTCACTTAAGCATCTGACTCTTGATTTCAGCTCAGGTCATGATCCCAGGTTTATGGGATCGAGCCCCACATCAGGCCCCATCCACACTGAGCGTGGAGCCTACTTAAGATTCTCTCTCTCTCTCTCTCTCTCTCTCTCTCTCTCTCTCTCTCTCTCTCCCTCTGCCCTACTCCTTCTCTCATGTGCTTGCTTGCTCTCTCTCTCTGAAAAAAAAAAAAAAAGATTTATGATCTAAAATACAATTGAAATTCATTATCAGGAAGTCTAATCTAATGGGGCATTTTCTTTTTTTCATTCAGAGCTGACTTTTGTTAGCACATTGTAAAGTATTACAGAGAATCCCTTATAAATTTTGGTGACTCCCATAGATTCTGTGACTTCTATTTCTCTACCTTCAATACCTTTGATACCAGTCTCTTTAATAAGCCTGTTTCAGCCCTGATAGTGCTGTTGCATTTTTCAGAAGTTAATGCTTCAGATGAATGCTAAGAACAAAACAGAAGAAGTTGAAGGTGAAACAGTGGAGCTCGACGTATCAGATGAAGAAATGGCTAGAAGGTAACAGTCACCTTAAAACCACATTATAATCTGGGCCCGGCCTTCTGGCTTTCATTGGCTGTTATGTGGGTTCTCCTCTTCCCCCCAGTCTTCCAGGGAGTGCCCCAGCAGGAAGATGACTTTCTCCTTTCTCTAAGTTGGGCTGACGGGGGGGTTCGTGCCTGTCATAGGCTAGCAGTTGAGGGCTTATGTCCTGTACTGCTTCTAATACATATTTTTAAATCTGCATCTCAATTTATTTAGGATAATGCAAAAACAAAGCACAGTGAAGAATTTGATCATCCATAGAAAAGCTTATAAATTTTAAATCCACTTCTTTTTATCACAACTCTGATTTTTTTATAATCATTGAGTATTTTTTTATAATTCATTGAATATTTAGTTTGATATTCTTGACAAGGCTTGATTCCTACCTTATTTGTTTGTGTATTTAATTAAACTTGTGCTGCATACCATCTTAACAGATATGAGACCTTGGTGGGGACAATTGGAAAAAAGTTTGCCAAAAAAAGAGACCGTGCCAACTATGAAGAAGATGAAAATGGACACATAAAACCAACAGTTAAAGTAAAGAAGATGTTCTTAAAGCCCCAGGATTGAAGTGGATGCTTTGAGACAGAGCTCAGGGGTGCCTCGTGAGAGTTAGCGTGTTGTGGAACTCATTCTGAAGGCTTCTCTGTAGTTACTCGTAATGTTTACTTGTAAAGAAATGGATGGTTTTGGAAACATGCCATTTTTGAAACAGATATGTGGTAGATGTTATATATCCTTTCCTTAATGGTGTTCAGGAATCAATTTTTAGCCCTCAAGCTTCAAATGTATATGGTATATGGATACTTCCTAAAGATTTTTTGACCTCAAAATTTTTTTTTAATGGAACTCTCTAGTCACTGACCTTGAATTGACACGTATAAATTAAACCAATGTTTAAGTTGCCCTTATGTTTATATTTTACTTTAAATTATTCATTATGCCAAGCCAATGTATACATTCATTTTGGAATCAAACATAATGAGGATTTATTATATATAAATTCACCAAGAACAAACATGCCTCTCCAGCCTGAAGTATTTGCATGCTACCGAGTCGTTGTCAGTTTGTGGAATTACTGGTTTTGTTTAAAGCTTTTACTTAATAAAAGAAATTATAATAAGTTTTCATATACTTTTTCTGTTCTCTTATGCTTTCAAATAATTATTTAGTATAATTCAGCATTGGAACTTTTATCCAAATACTAACTAAAAAAACCAGCCCTCAACTTAGAATATGGTAATATGTTAGGTTGAATTGTAAGAAATTGGCTCTTATGGGTCAAAACCAATCATTAACTTTTTGTTTTAATCATTATGAAGTTATTAACCTGTAAATGTACCCTGTTTAGCTCTGTTTGGACAAAGAAATTATTAGCACAGAGAGGACTCCACTTTCTAAACCAGCAGCTCACTTGTGTATCCTAGAGTTTCTTTCTGACATGGTGGCATATTTTGCTTCTTTTCATGGGGCTCTGAGTTTTCCCTGTCCCCAAGAGAGAAAATATACTGGGGTTTAAGGTGTTAATTATAAAATTAAGAGTTCCTAGATTCTTGTGTACAGAGTCCTACTGTTTTCCTTAAGCTGTGTTTAATCCGAATGGTATGTCGAGCTGGTATCTCTGGTATCTCTTCCATCAGCATTGGATGGAAGAAAACTGCCTGCCCACGAGTAGCAGGGGTTAGTTACCCTGTGTTATTGCAAAATTGCAACAGGATCAAACAAGACCATCCAGGTAATTAAAAAAAAAAAAGTAATCTGACAAATATTGGCAGACTCTGACTTCCAGTGACTTCTGTCCCACCCACAGCAGGCTCTCACACCCACATCCTGCTCTCTGACCTCTGCCCTGATCATTATTCCTGATGGTCACTTCATCACATGTAACATCCATGTCAAATGGATTCTGTCCTCAAACCTGACACCTCTCGGCTCCTACCTCTGAGTCTCATTTAAACCTCACAGGGATGACCACAAGTTAAAAATGGAGAGTAACATAGGAACAAGTCTGCAATTCAGCCCCCAGACCTGGATTCCACAGCATCCATTCTGAATGCAATGGTAACAGAAAACCTGAACTACATCAAGAGTGTGAAGCACAAACATACTTCGCCATTGGAGATCCTATCAGGTATTTAATCTGGAAGAAAGCTGGTAATGGTTGGACCAAGATGTTACCCAGAGGAAAATAAAGTAAGGCGGTAGCAGTTCTGGTGAATGTTCTCCAAATGAATAGCCACTTGTGACAGCACTGCAGAGGGGCTGTCCTTAGATGCCAGCTATGTGCCCAGAAAACAACTGACATTATTCATTTGTTGAAAAAATACTGAGTTTTTAACTTGGCCGGACACTGAATTATGGGCTGGGATTGTGAAGAATCATCTCTGCTTTACCCATGAAGAAACTGAGATACGGAGGCATTCAGTAACTCACCCGGTGCCACACAGCTTTTAAGTGCTGGATCCGGGATTTGAATGCAGATCTACTGACTCCAAAGCCCTTGCTCTGTCTTTCTCTGATGTTGCTCCATAGGGAAAAGCAAAAGAATGGAATTGGGAAATGGTGAAAATAGCCTGATGCCAGAATAAGTCCATACTTTCTTTCCCAACAGAGTCTTTCAGAATCATGTTGTACTATCTGTATCATTGTACTACAACATTTTAAATTATTTCCTTTTTTATAAATTTGCTTTTTACAGATGATAGAGGAGTTAAATTCACACTAACCATCAGTTTTCAACACAAATGATTATTTTCTAAATAGGATATCCTCAGTATTAGTGACTCTATATTAAGGAAAAATGTACATGTGAATCTATGGTAACAAGCAAAAATTGAAAAAGCAATTTTTTTAGTGTTCATTTTTGAGAGCGAGGAAGAGGAGGAAGGGCAGAGAAAAAGGGAGACACAGGATCCAAAGCAGGCTCTGTGCTGACCGCAGAAAGCCCAGTGCAGAGCTCAAATTCATGAACCGTGAGATCATGACTTGAGCTGAAGTCGGATATTTAACCTACTGAGCCACCCAGGCGACCCAAAAAAGCAATTAATGAGTGCTCACATGGAATATAACTGTATGTAATCACACACTCATTTAAGTCATGTCCTATAAAATCTTACCCAATTTGAAAGCAAGGATTATGCCTCACTCTGGTTCCAACCCCACATTCCTCATGCAGGGATTTATTAAAAGTAGGTGCTTAATAGATAGTGAATCAAATGAAAATTTTCTCCTACTTCCCCAACCTCACATAAACATTTTTAGTGACTCTTCAGAGAATCCACCTAGCAAATATTGGGCTCCTCAAAGATTTTGCATACTATACGTTGTTTTGCAAGATAATTCTATCTGCAGGTGTATAGTTGAAAACTCAAAATCTTCAAGCCTCAAGACTAAGGAAGTAGACTTCAACTGTTTTCCCCAGGAGGTCATAAATATGAAACCCTCAGTTTGTGATACAGCTCTTGCTCCCTTATTTAATCCAGGTGCCAAATTATACTCACTTCTGGCAAATGTAAGATGCAAGACATCTGAGGCTGGTTCTTACCAGAAATTAACTCCAAGACCTCCACAACTAGGGAGTTCTGGCCAGGGAAGTTCCTAGGCAGAATGTTAAAAGGGACAGATGGCTGCTTCTGGCTGCCTCTGGTAAAATACAAGATCAAGATAAATGACGGAAGGAACTGTTTAGTTCTACAGCACAGTTTAAAGAAATGTTGAAAGCCAGGCTGGTCTTACTAGCAAGCAGAAGGTTCTCAAAGTAAGGAGTTGCAGAGATCAAATCTGGAGTGTTGTCAATAAAATTTGGTCTCAGGATAAATGTTGAGGGAACCCCTTGGAGTCACGGGTATGGTTATAAGACCATTTGCTGATTTTGAGATGTCAGGAGAGTGTATCCTAGATCCCTTTGTTATAAGAGGGATTCCAAGAATCTTAAGGGCACCATCACTAAGTCTGGGGGTAGTTCGATGGAGGGAATTAATGTGGAGCACAAGCAGGTCTCAGTGGTGTAAGGAGCAAACTGGAGCCCTGCCCATTTCCCTTAAGTCCTCATGTCATGGTGCCCCAGCCAGCTTCCAACTGCAGGATCCACATCTCCGTGCCAAAGCCTTTCCAAAAATTGTAGGAAAATATCCTTCCACATTCTGCCTGGGGACAGCACAGAAATGCTGGAGACTTAAGATTTTGCTTCTTTTGGGAGTAGCCTCAACCAACCGCTGGTCAGAGTTAGTATCAAAACACCCCATCACCACTCAGGAGGGACCATTTGGTGGTAAGTGAGGTATGTGTTTAACACCATTTTGGAGAATTTTCCCAGGACTTTAGCTTCAGTTGCCCTCAGTGCTGACTTGCTTGATAAGGCAGCTTAGTGTCTGTTTTGCATTCTCCTCATGCCACAGCAAGATTTTCCTGCACCTCCAAAATAAACTGCTTGCAATTGAATCTTTGTCCAAGGGACTGCTTCTGGGAAATTCAAATTAACTCTGAACCAGGCATTTAAACAAATGTTACTGATAACGTAGGTATAGATACACAGGCAGGCAGACAGATAGATGATTGATAGCTGGTAGAAGATAGATAGCTGATAGATACATCTATATATTGTGACTGGTGGATAGTTCTTCAAATAGTTTCCCTACTCCATTTCCCTCTTTTGCTTGCAGTGCATTTGTGGAGTAATTACTTGATATATTTTAATTTAGCAAAATTTGGTCAAATCTAATGCAAATTACATTTTTGCTTCCTATGACTCATGCAGTTTATAACCCAGGGTTAAGGCAGTTCTTTGACCTGATTTCTTCTTTTTTGCAGACTAATGCTGGAAACTTTTATTTATATTGTGCAAGGCATTCTCAAAATGTATATGCTTGGAATCTGTGGAAACACACATATGTATATGAAAGTAAAATCCAGAGCTCTCAGAAGGTGGATAAGTAAAGTGAATAAGAAAGCCAGCAATAAATGCCAAATTAATTTTTAAATCTGGAAATTGATCATGTTTGACTTGAAAACGTTTCTATGTCTTACCATTGCACTGAGAATAAACACTAAACTCCTTATCCTGGCCCTGTGTAATCTGGACCTGCTGTTGGATCTCATCTCATGAGTTCTTCCTCTCCTTTTACCCCAAGTAGAGTTTATGTACATGCTGTTTTCTCTGCCTTGGTAGTGCTTGTTCCCAACTCTAAACATGTCTGCTCAAGATGGAGGATTAAACAGATACAGGATACTCCCCCAAGTTTAAAAGCATGTAGCCAAACTTAAAAACAAGAGGTGAAATATTCCAGTGGAACTTGGCCTCAGTAATAAGCAGAAATCAAAACCATGTGGCCCAGGAATGCAAAATGGTAATGCCAAGACAGCTTGGCATCTTCTTATAAAATTAAACTTACTCTATACTGTAATAGGGTTATACAGTGACAGATGGTAGTAGCTACACATGTGGTGAGCATATCATAACATATAGAGATGTTGAATCAATATGGTGTTCATCTGAAACTAATGTAACATTGTGTGTCAGTATACTCAAAGAAAAAAAAACTTTTTTTTAAAGATTAAACATACTCATACTGTATGATCCAGCAATCACACTCCTTGGTATTTACCCAAAAGAGTTGAAAACATGTCCACATATAACCCCCCCCACAGATGTTTATAGCCACTTGATTCATAATTTCCAAAATTTGCAAGTAACTAAGATGTCCCTCAGTAGTTGAATGGATAAACTGTGGTACAGCCAGACAATGGAATACTATTCAGCACTAAAAAGAAATGAGCTATGAAGCCATGGAAATACATAGGGGAAACAAATACATATTTCTAAGTGAAAGAAACCAATCTAGAAAGGCTACATACTGTATTCCATCTATATTACAGTCTAGAAAAGGGACAACTATGGAAACAATAGAAAGATTGTGCAAAACCCACAGAATGTGCAACACCAAGAATGAACCCTAAAGTAAACTGAATTTTAGGTAATTATGATGTGTCAATGCATTCATCAACTGTGACAAATATTCCCCTCTAGAGGAGGATGTTGATAGAAGGGGACACTGTGCAAATATGAAAAAGGGGACATATATGAAAACTCTGTGCCTTCTCTTTAATTTTGCTGTGAACCTAAAACTTCTCTAA